GACGCGTCGCATCCTGTTCGCGATGTCACCTCGGATTATCTTGCTATTCCTACGTCAGCCGCATATTTCATCCTGTTTGTGTGGTAAGCAGATTTCATGTACGCGCTTATCTATTTACGCAAATCCGCCACGTGATTGCAACTTGTAGATACATGCTAGAAGTTTCTAGTACAGTCCGTTTAGTTCAGCAACGTCCGCTAGAAGGCAGTAGTCTTGCCCATAGTGCATTCTGATTGGTACTCGTGGATCCTGGCCAAGTTATTAACCATTATTTTTAATTGATTATCTATTTGCCTTAATATAGTAGTATTTAATGAAAAAAATCATGACATCTGTGGCATGGAAAACGTGGACAATAACACAAAGCCATGCTTTTGTCTTATGAATCCTGATATTTGACCGTATCTATCCTCTTCGTGCAACTGACCTTGTACAGCGGAAACCACCATGAGGCGCATAGGCAATTCTGTTCCAACTTGATCAGATCATTGTACATCCTCGATAATGAATGAATTCATAACTTTAAATTTATTTTGTGTCTGTTTTAGGTTAAGATATTTTAAATTTCTCTTTTCTCATTTCTTTATCTTATAAACATAATTTACGTAATTTTCTTTTCTCCTCGTCGTTAAGCTGAATTTATTAATTCTCACACCATATTTTTTTATATACAATCATAAGATTTTCTTTTCTTTCCACATATTTAAGTTTTACATTCCCCCCCCTACGTTTAAATTGCAAAAGTAATAGATTTTTATAAAAGTAATACGTTTTCACAAACAATTTTAATTTCTTCTCTTTTTATTTTACAAAAGTTTTTTTTTTTTTTTTTCCCTAAGTTTGATCTTTCCTTCCCGTGTTTTACATTTTTAGCTTTATTTGTTTTACAAAATTGTACTTATTTTCATACGATTTTTTTTTCTATTTTTACGAACTCAGTCTTTCTTCCTTCCTATATTTTACTTCAAGAAGTAATTTTAATTTTTCTTTTTTTTTATAAAGGTATTTATTTTTAATTCTTTGAAGAGGTTTCTTAACGTTTTCCCTGTTTTAAATACTTATTGACGTTACACTTCCATTTCTCGAAGCTTAAAGTTACATATATATTTCTCTGTCTATGAAATTTAAGCTGAAACTTACACGCATATAATTTCCGTCTAGAGGATAATATTTCTGTAATTTAAACCAATAAGTACCATGTTCCTTCCATATAGCTTAATTGGTATATTGTATTTCTTATTTTTTTTACCCTACTAATACTTAAGGTACGCAAAACTTTCTCTTCTAATGTATTACACTATACTACTAACACTTAACAGGTGATACCGAACTTTCTCTTCTACGATTAATGTATTACACTAACTTTTTGAAACACTATACAAAACGCCTAGGATTCTCTTTTACACATCTTACTTTTACTCAAAGGATTCACAAAACGTGTCAAACAAATGTAAACTTTAAACTTTCTATTTTCCATTTAGACATTTTGCCTTACATTTAACCTTTATCATGTTTCTAAAACATATCCTTGTTAATATTTCTGATTCTTTTTTCCCAAAAAATAAAATACAGACTTATGTGCATTTTTTAAAGATCTACTGTCTTTGAATTAAACCTTATAATTCAGAAATAATACATTTTCATGACATAAAATCTACTTGAACTAATGTATGGACATCTCTAGCCAGTTTAGTTCAAATACATACGAAAAAATACGAAATTTCTTATTATTGTCTACCCCAGTTTAATACGTACCAACAGCGTTTTATTTCTTATTATTTTACACTACAGACATTTACATGAATATATTCAGAACACTCCTTTTTATTGAGCAGGAGGTTTCATATATATTACTAAAACAGATTGACTTTTTGAAATATTTTACAAAAATATCTTGGATTTTCTTGTACACAACGTATTTAAATCACCCAACATACGCTAAATCTTGATTTCTATCATGTGAAAACGTCACCCTGATTCTTAATGTGATCCCACCATTTACCGCAGACCATCATAAACACTGCTATACGCTGAAGTGACAAAAGTCATAGGATACCTCCTAATATTTTGTCGGTCCTCCTTTGCACGGCGAAGTGAAGCACTCGACGTGGCGGACTCAACAAGTCGTTGGAAGTCCCTGCAGGAATATTAGCAAAGTGTTGGAAAGTCCAGGAAAAAAAAAAAAAAAAAAAAAAAAAAGAAAAAAAAAAAAAAAAAAGAACCACAGGTGACCTTTTTGCAGGGGTTTTGGGCACGAACTGACTTTCGATGATGTGCCATAAATGTTCGATGGGATTCATGTCGGGTGATCTAGATGGCCAGATCATTCGCTGGAATTGTCCAGAATGTTCTTCTAACCAATCGCGAACAATTGTGGCTCGGTGACATGGCGCATTGTCATCCATAAAAATCCCATCGTTGTTTGAGTACGTGAAGTCCATGAATGGCTGTAAGTGATCTCCAAGTAGCTGAAGGTATCCATTTCCAGTCAATGATCGGTTCGGGTGCACCAGAGGACCGAGTCCATGCTATGTAAAAACAGCCCAGACCATTATGGAACCACCACCAGCTTGAACAGTGCCTTGTTGACAACTTGGGTCCACGGCTTCGTGAGGTCTGCGCCACATTCGAACCCTACCATCAGCTCTTACCAACTGAAATCGTGACTTATCTGACCAAGCCACGGTTTTCCATTCGTTTCGGGACCAACCGATATGCTCACGAGCCCACGAGAGTCGCTGCAGACGATGTCGTGCTGTCAGTAAAGGCACTCGAGTCGGTCTTCTGCTGGCATAGCCCAAGGAAGACAAATTTCGCCGCACTGTCCTATCGGACACGTCCCTCGTACGTCCCACATTGATTTCTGCGGTTATTTGAGGCAGTGTTGCTTGTCTGTGAACATTGACAACTCTACGCAGACGTCGCTGTTCTCGGTCGTACAGGTACAGTGCAGGTGGTCGGTCACTGCGCTGTCCATGGTGGGATGTTATGCCTGAAATTAGATACTCTCGGCACACTCTTGACACTGTGGATCTCGGAATGTTGAATTCCCTAACGATATCCGAAATGGAATAACCCATGCGTCTAGCTCCAACTACCATTCCGCGCTCAAAGTCTGTTACTTCTCGTCGTGCGGCCATAATCACGTCAAAGCCTCTTCACATGAATAACTTGAACACAAATGAAAGCCCTGCCAAAGCACTTCGCATTTATACATTTTCTACGCGATACTACTGCCATCTGTATATTTTCATATTGCTATACCATGACTTTTGTCACTTCAGTGTATTTTATCTTTGGACTGCAGTACTTTCATAACTGCAGCCAAAATCTTTTCTACCGTCAAAGTCGAAACAGTCATCAGCGATGTGCTGATCGGTTTGTCCAAACCCTCTGCTTTAATGCAAAACCGAATGAGGTCCGATGGACTTAAATCAGCTGCTGTGCGGCGAATGAGTTGTTCGAACAATTCTCTGACGGTGTCAGGAATTCGGAACATCGGGATGCCTTTCACGCCTTGAGGCAGTCTTTCGATGTCCACACAAGCGTAGAAGGTAATCTCCTCGGCTTGATATTTATGGTTCCGTTGACGAGACTTTTCTGTAAGTACAATCGCCTCATCGATCTGAAAAATAAAAATAAGTTTTAGCAATAATCAAACATTTTCAAAAAGACATTATGATAAAAAAATAAAATAAAATACACACCGAACGTTCATCGGAACCAGCCATGTATACAGGCCCACGAGTTGACTAGGAAGTCTAAAAATAAATACATTCATTTCTAGTACATTTATACATTTTCTACGCGATACTACTGCCATCTGTATATTTGCATATTGCTATCCCATGACTTTTGTCACTTCAGTGTATTTGAACTCCCCATATAGCCGTATTTGTGTAAAACATCTAAAAAGAAAGATGTCTACAATACACATGGAATTAATATTCAGTCATGGAAGTGAAACTTTGTCATCTTTTTCTCAACTTAGAATATAGAAATTTCTCAGCTCAGAATATTTTTTTTAAATAGTATGATCATTATTTTTACAAGTCTAAGGCTTTTTAATATATTCCTACTAACTTAAGATATGCATTTCAAATTGACAAACACTGAACTCTTACAGCTTTTTGAGAATGACTTTTAAGTTATGAATACATAGCAAATAAAATTCTGCATAACAGGAAATATTGACATGAATTCCAAATAATAATACAAGTTGACTTCAATATATTCAATTTAACTGAAGATGTGCATTTCAAACTAACATTACTTTACGTAGAGTTCTTACAGCTCTTTGAGTACATCTGATTTTTAATTTTTCAGAGATATGAGAAAATTTTTTGCATAAATACCATACAAAACATAAAATATTGACATGAACTCCATATCATGGTCCAACATCGGTAACTTAAATGCATTTTAGTATGAGTATGGAAGTATTATATTTATTTCTAAGTTTGGTGATAATAACAACGTAAAAATAAGAATAATGCATTATCTCTCATTTCTTGCCGTGTATTACAATTACAGGTATTCTACTGTCTCTAAATATGCTTGTGAGTTGTAAAATATACTTTCGCTACAGAAGGGCTTATTATTATGTCGGTTAAACTATTTGTTTCAGCAATAGATTTTAAGGAATATTAATTTTCTTTCGAAAAAAAAAAAAAAAATAAGACCATGCATTTAGAAAAAAAAAAAAAAAAATCTGTTTTTGATCGTAAAGTTTAGCTTTTTTACATAAGTATGATGCATTCTTTAAATTAAAATATAACATGAAATTCTGAAATTTAAACTGACATTTATATCCAAAATTTTAACGCGAGCACCATGTCTGAGCTCGATCTTACAGATATGACTAGAGCGAGCTTTCCAGAAGGCATATGCATTACACATCCGATAATTAAAAAATAGTTGTTTTAAATCGCAAAAATGTCATTTATTCCCAATTCAAAAGAAATCGCGAGAGGATTTTAAAATATGTAATAAAATTCCTAATAATTTTACTTAATTTAACATATTCTATTACAATTTATGCAGATTTATGGAGCATAGACCTTTGCATTTCTAATGCAATTTTCATCTGACTATTTTGGGAAGAAATTTTAGTTGAAATTTTTGCAGATTCCGCAATATTTACTTTTCTAGGATGAATATCTTTTGATTAAGTATTGGTTTAAATTAGAGCAAGGCGGTGTGAAAAGTAGTATGGGAGAATCATTCGGATACCGTTACAATCCCAGTTATACACCTGAGCCTCATTTCATACCAGGGTAAATTCAGATTTATTTATCAAACCTATGTTATTATCTTTTTAGTTATCTTTAATAACACATATATTTTTAAGGAATTAATTTAATGTATTGATTTTTCTGATATTTAAACTGATAAAGTTAAGAATATATATATTTTATTTAAGAAATTGTTTCTTATATTTATTTTTCCCCTGCTATAGCGACTAAATTGACATATGTTTAGAGTTTATCATAAACAAATAGTTTCTTCATAATGTCTAAGTTTATTTATTATGATAAATACATAATAGCATAAATTAACGCCTTGAGATAAATCTGCTCCAAACTCAAGGTTTTTGTATTACTAATTTTATGTTTCACTTAACATATTTCTCTTCTATTTTCATTTATCTAAGTTGTTACAAAGGATTGCATTTTCGAGTTTCGATTTTGTTTGGTTTGGTTTATTTAATTACGGCAAAGCACACTAGGGCTATCTGCCTAAGGGGAGGAATGCCTTCGTGGCGGCCTTTCTAAGGGCAACTGGCTCGTATACACGTTACACATGGGGAAAACCACGAAAATGCCCATGCGGCCAGCCCGTTCGCGGGATTCGAACTTCGGACCGAACTACCAGTGTTCAGCGACTTTACCGCTCGGCCACTGGTGGGCCATTCGAGGTTCGAAATGATTACTCTAAGTTATACTACTTATTTGTCTAGCATGTTTTCATTGTGAAGTATATTTATTCAGATGCATGCGAATGAAGTTCTCTTTCTAATCTACGCTTCTAACCTTTTAAATCTTCTGAAATTTAATATATATATCTGACGCATATGAGATTTGAGTTCTCGGTTTTATATGAATTTTAAAGTCTTTAATAAAAATTTGATGAAATCTTTTTACGTTTTTTGATCTCAAATGGACCAGAAGAACGAAACATATTAATCGACTTTTATGAAGCTTTAACTCATTTTCCCCTGATGGGTTCTGAATTGGCGTTTCAATAAAAGGAGATTAATTTTTGTATAATTTTGTATATTTTCTCTTTTTCATTTATATTTTTCAAGATTGTTCTTCTACGAATTCTCTCTTTAATTGAATTAGTTTTGATATTGTGTTAAACCTCTTATACACAGTTGCAATTATTATATTATAGAGGAATTGCCTTGCTTTTATTCCAATTTACTAATTAATTTAGATACTTTAAGTTTATTCTACTTCAGTTCTGCAGCTATAGCGTAGGACGGGTTTAAAAAAAAATTTATTCGAATTTTTTATTTCGAATTTTAGCCTATTTATATATTTCTTTATATACGAGTATATATTATATGTATACTATATATATATATATATATATGTCTTTTTTAGTTTGTTCTCCTTTCTTAAATTATATGTATATATATATAGGTCTTTTTTAGTTTGTTCTCCTTTCTTAAATTATATGTATATATATATATATATATATATATATATATATATATATACGAGGGTTGCTAATCATATTTTTGGCCTAATAAGGAAAAACAAATGTTTATGATCGAAATAGTTTTTCAAAATATTCTTCATGAAGATCCATACACTTTTGCATGCGTTTGAGCCATTTTGGAAGCAATTTTTCCGCTCCTATTGCGGTAACTCCGAAACCGCTTCTTCGAGTGTCGCAAATCGCTGACCAGGTAATTTATTTTAGATGTGTGGGAATAAAAAAAAAAGTTATTCGGTCCCAAATCAGGGCTGTACGACGGATGACCCTTAATTCGAGGTTTCAACTCGTCAAAAATTCCTTTGGTTGAACCAATGTGTGAGAGCTCGCATAGTCATGGTGAAGAATGATTCACCTCTTCTGCTTTTTTCGAATTTCTCCTATGACTTCTGGCAAACGAAATGGTCGTGTACCATTCGAAATTGACCATCCTGCCTTGCTGTAACACATCAGTTTCGCCACGTTACGGGTAATGCTGAAGAAACAGGCAACCATTTGCTTCGATGTGCTTCTTCCGCGAACAACTTTCGTTGGATTTGGGTCGTCTTGGAAGACCCGTACAGTCGACTGCTGTTTTGTTTCGGGCTTATATGCATAGATCCATGATTCTTCACCTGTGTAGATGATAGTATTTGTTTATAAAGTATAATTTTAAGTTTTAATATTTTGGCAACATTGATATTTTCTTAAATTGTCAAAGAATCAGTTAAAAGTTGTATCTGGCATCTAGAGAGTTTGTTATGGTTTTGTAGAATGCGGTAAGGTATCTTATGACTAATTTTATTTAATAAAGTTTTCTTTTTATATATTACTATAATGTGTTTTTATTAGAAGTACATAATTTTTTAGAGAATATCATTTATATGCTAATCACAAACCAACATTTGGTAGCAGAGCGTGGTTGTCCCCTCTGTTGATGAACTTTCATATAGAACATTGATGTTGTTTAGGCTTATATAATATCATTTATATGCCAATCGCAAACCAACAGTAGATGATATACACAGCCTTTGATGCACCTTGAACGTATTTTACCACTATTTCCTTGCACTAATCAACACGAGCCTTCTTTTAATCGTTTGTCAGATTATGCGGGTTCCAACGCAAACAAATCTTTTCTACGGCCAAATGTTCATATAATATCTTATTGATACTTGTCATAATAGTGCCCAAAGATGCCTTAATCTCGTGATATGTCACATGACGATCTTGATTCATCAGTTCACACACAGCATCCATATTTTCTGGCACAACAACCGATTTGGGACGACCTTCACGAAATTCGTCCTGGAGCGAACGTCGACCGTGATTGAATTCGTTATACCAATTTTATATAGTTTTGTAGGGTGGTGCTTTATTGCTGTGTAAAGAATTAAGTTCACCGAAGCACTCTTGTCTTAATAATCCACGTCAAAAGTTATGAAAAATAATCGCACGAAAATGTTCACGAGTCAATTCCATTTTTGGGCCGAGATGAATTTTTCAGTTTACTGTAAACAACACAAATCAGGCTAAAATGATATAATGTTGTGAAGAAGTTATGCTTAAAGGTATCAGATTTTCGATTGGAATCGTGTACGGTCGCCTAGCAAACATTACTGTTGCCAAGGCCAGAAATATCAATAGCAACAACGTATATACAAGTAATTCCAAGTTCTAGGAATTTAGGTGTAAATTTTTTATTTCATCAATTTTTATCAGTAGTGCAGAGCAGTGTTTCAACAAAATCTCCCATTTAATTGAATACACTTAGCCAAACGAAAACTAATGTTTTTAAGCTGACATTAGTAATTTTTCGTTGTCTTCTTCTGTCTTCTTATGGCATTATTAAACTTTCAAAACGAGTATCTTGTAATCTCGTAAAGGTTTTTTTTTTTTTTTTTTTTTTTTTTTTTTTCCAAATACTAGAACAGATGTAGAAACAGAATAATACTCGCAGATGTTGAAGAATTTCTGAAGCTTGCACACCCTTTTTCCACAAAAAGGAAATGATTGCTCTTGGCATCTTCCTAGTTTCGAAAATAGTGCTACAAAATTGCACCTGTATTAATTAAACAACTCGATCAGACTAAATAATATTGCATAGGATAGCTGTGCCGAAAGCATTATTTAGATATTCTAGAAATTGAACTAGAGTTCCTAGAGCTTTGGAAACATCTTATGCAATACATACATATGCATTCTATTTGTATGTGTTTCTCTCCTTTTATGACATAATTCGAAATATATTCATAAAAATGTCTAGTGAAGTCATAAAAATGTCTAGTCTAGTTTTTGAAGAAAACTAATTCTTTAGTTATGGTGCGAGCTCAGCTCTTTCTGAGATTTTTTGGAGATATTTGGACATTATCGGCATAATGTCCTGTTGACTAAATGTCTTGACAGTTAAATGTCCCATAGCTAAGTGTTCTGACAGCTAACTCTTTGTGTCGGCTGACAGCTAAGTGTCCCTGTCGGCTAAATGTCCTGGCGGCTAACTGTCCGTGTCGGGTTAATGTCCTGTCAGCTAAGTGTCCTTGTCGGCTAAATGTCCTGTCAGCTAAGTGTCCATGTCGGCTAAATGTCCTGTCTGCTAACTGGTGTTGGTTAAGTGTCTCATCGGCTAAGTGTCACGGACCCCACACTCTCACCTCAACTAAAGACAAAGCTAACCTGAAACTCCCAACTGAATTTTTCCTAGTTTTTATATAACTACTTTTCATATAATTATAACTTCGGAAATATGTATACTACTGTACAATAAAATTGCAACACCAGGAAAGAATGATCTGAAGAATGCCAAAATGACATGAAAGGAAGAAGTTGAAATATCTAAATGATTGGTATTTCAACGCAGTGGCGTATCGAGAGAGGGGCAAGAGGGTTATCATAATTTGAGCGCCGCTTGCAGAGGTCGCCAAATGGTCCCTAAGATAAAAAGATTTTCCGGAATATTTCAATTTATAATTTGACCGATTTCTGGGAAATAAATTTTAAATCCATAATTACTGTAATATAATTAATTATTTCCTTTCTTAAATTGTCTGATAAAATATATTATAAATAATGTTTGCAGTAAATCAATCAAATACCTACGTATGCAAAACGTTCTTTTCTCTTCCTTTCAGAGCATTTTATTTCTCTAAAATAGTGAATTTTTTTTTTTTTTTTTTTTTTTTTTTGAGCGAAATGGGCGTACAGCTCACGCTTGTTATTTTAAAACGGTAACAAACAATCCACTATAGTCTTTTACTATATTATAAGCTCTTAGCCCCTAAACTATTATTAATTTGGCCGCCAAACTCTAATATTCAACTAATAACTGACATCAAGAAATAAATATTGCGGACTTTTATTTAATTCGACTCCTGATATCTCTCATCGGGAATAAATGTCGCAAGTCTTTAGCCATGTATGTATTTATTTTACCAGCAGAAAAGTTTCTGTCAAAGAATCCTTTTTGGGATTTATTGAAATACATACTAAAGACGCAGCAGTTGAAAATACAATTTTAGGAAAATTCAATTCCGATCAGATTTCATTAACAAACTGTAGATCACAATGTTATGATAACGCTGCCGTGATGTTAGGTCACATATCTGGTGTTCAACAAAGAACTGTAGAAAAAATAATAAAACATTATTTGTAAACTGTGATAACCACTCACTAAATTTAGTAGAAATTGCTGCAGCTAAGCAAGATTCAGTCGTTGTAACATGTTTTGGAATAACTGGAAGCATATAGCTCTTTTTCTCACGTTCAACATTACGATGGGAATTAGACCATGCCTTAAAGAAAACTGTTAAACATGAATCTGAAACAAGATGCAGTGCCAGAGCACAAGCGGTTAGTGTTACTGTCGATGAGCTGAAAGAATTAGTAGAACTATTAGAAAAATTAGCAGAGAACAGTTCTACCATAAGTGACACCAGAAGTGAAGCTATAATTTTATTGCAAAATACACTGAATTTTAATTTCTGAACACCATTTCTGGCATGAACTCTTGAGTAGAACTGATCGTGAGCAGCTCAGATTACAAGATCCTAAAATGAATTTTTGCAGAGCATTATATGATCTTGAATCATTAGCGACTCAACTTGCAGAAATTTGAGAGAAGGTCTGTGAAGAAGGAATAGAAAAAGGCTGATCTCTTTGGGAAAAATTGACTGCAATTACAACAATCCGTGTTAGAAGATACTGAAAAATGCCCGGAGAATTGGCTAGAAATTTTGGCCTTTCAGCAAAAAGTGAAATTTCTTGCATTATGAAAAGCATTGTTGATCACTTTAGCATGAAATCAGTACACAATTTACATACAAATTGGAAATAAGATTACTTGCTAAGTAAGTTTGGATTAATTAAGAATAAAGATTACTTATTAAGAATAAATTTATTTCATATTTGGATTTTTAGTGGATTTTGAAAATTTATTATAAAAGGTACAATGTTGATAACCATCTTTAAAAGAATTATAAAAATTTTGTTGAATTTTCTATTACAGATTTTAATAGAACAGAACTCTATCTCTAAATATGTTAATGCAAGATGTTACTTTGCAGCAGAAAAGAAATTGAACTCAAAACTTCATTATAGCTTTTTACTTTTACGATATCATATGGAGAAATGTTTTTCCAAAACTGAGAGTCGCACTTCAAATTTTTCTTACTATTTTATTAGCATGATTTTCCAGCTGAAAACATTCATTCAGCAAATTAAAATTAATTTTTGCATATCTACGATCAATGATGGGACAAGATCGCCTAAGTGGCCTAGCATTTTTAAATGTGGAAAGAGAAAAATTTGAAATAATCGATTTTGATAAAGGAATTGATAATTTTTTTTCATCAGAGGCAAGAAAAATGTATGCATAGTAATTAACTGTATTAATGTATTAGAATATTAGATGATTATTAACAAATATATCTACTTATATATAATATATATTAACTTTTTACATTGTTTAAAAACTCTTTTTTTGAAACAATTATATAAAACTGCAAAATAAATACTATCTTTTTAACTTATTCTAGATGAGCTTATGTCTAATTTTTCCACTGGCACAGACACATTTCCGAATCTAGTCCTAGTTTTGACTTTTTAACTAGACTTTTTTTATCTCAAATTTAAAGCCTAACTCCAGCCTGTTATCCCGAAAAACTGTATACCATTTTGCAGAAGTGTAGTTAGGTAGTAACTATTCGTAATATATTATAGAGTATTTTAAGGCAGATACTGCATTTTATTATTTTCTTTCTTATTACAAGTATGTTCTATATACTATATTACTAGACGTTTTGGGAGAGCTCGAAAAAGAAATTGTGCCCCGGGCGCCAGTTATGCTCGCTACGCCACTGTTTCAGCGCATTTAGACAACGCAGGAGGGAAAAACGACATCTGAAGCACTGCATAAAAGAAGAGTTGTGTAATGGATTTCTCATTCGGAATGCGCTTTGTAAGGTCAGAGTTTGATCAGAAATCGTGTTATGCCTCGAATAATAAGAACAAATGCTTACCAGCAAGTGTCGGAAATCGATAGAAGGTAGGATCGTTGCTAGTCGAGAGTGTGGATTATCGTCCCATGATATCACCCGTCGTACTGCTGGACATCCAACCATTGTCCTGTGAATATGGAATCAATGGGTTGCTGAGGGTCATACTGAACGGCATGCAGAATCTCAGCGCCCTCTCCTCTAACGCCCGAGATGACAGACATATTGTGAGGTCAATCCTGCAAAACCGTACAACCATATAACAGACCATTAGTAAGGAAATGGGCAAGTTTGCAGCATGCCCAGTATCAGCTCGTAAAGTGCTTCGACGTTTGCAGCAGCGTGGACCATCAGCACGGTGATCATTACTTCGGCTTTCCTTGACAATGTAACAGAGAGAGACGGCGATTCTGACGCGCCAAGGCGACAAAGCTGGCGCCTGCTAGCATTCGATATCGGAATAGAGGCCCTGCACCTGGTGTGATGGTTTGGGCAGCCACTGGGTTACACAACACGCACATCTCTAGTTCGAATCGACGGTAATTTGAGCGCAGATGGATACATTACTGACATCTTACGTCTAGTAGTTGTGCCCGAGGTCTCCAAACGCCATGTTCCAACAAGATAATGCAAAACCAGATGATGCACGTCGTGTTCTGATCTTTCTCGATACATAAGGGTATTCGATTGCTTCTCTGGTCTCCACAGTTTCCAGATCTGTCACGCATTGAAAACATCAGGTCATGGGTTGCTAAGATACTGGCCCGCCACCCCTCTTCAGCTAAGACGATTGATGAAGTGTGGCATAGACTTGAAGCAGCATAGAATGAGTTGCTCATTTCTGTCATCCAAACCCATTCTGAGTCCATGGCTAATGGGGTAAGGGCCGTTTTAGCTGTCAGGGATATTAGCTGTTTCTACTAATTTCGTACCCCTGTAAAACTCCAAAATGTTCACAAATTTGATTATTTTGTCTTCATGCCATACTGTTTACGTGCAATAAATATATTTTTTGTATTTGGTGGTATTGCAATTTTAATGGCCAGTAGTGTATTAAAAATCAATTCAGAATAAAACTCTGAGGTACAGTAGCCTTGAAATTGCACAGTAGATACAGTAAAATTACAAAAATTTGGCACATTCCGGAGTTGGGTGGTTCCGGATTATGAAATAAGTCAAACTATTGAAATTTACAATGCTGTAATGCCGATTTCGTAATTGTAATTTATTTAGTATATTATGAAAGCGAAAAATAAATTTAAACAAAGTTGAAAGTACATAAAACACACTAGAAAGTAAACTATGCACATACTTTAGCATTTTTAAATGATTTATGTTTTAGAATTTACTGCATGAATCCCTTAAGTTTAAATGTTTTTAAATGTGTTTTTCATGTGTTAAACGAGAATGTCTCCAGTATTCGAATTACTAATTTCGTCTTCTGATGTTTCGAGCAGTGGACTAGTCAAAATAAAGCTATGATTTGTTACCAACATTTCAGAGTGGTTTATGACAAGGTAATCAATATTTTCGCCTTCTTCAAAATAATTCTGCTTCCTAATATTCCGTTAACATTTTTGTTAAACTTCTGTTAAGTTATGCTCTTCACGTGTTTCCAAGAAAATGCAGTACCAAATATTGCATTTATGAGTTTACGATTCTCTGACCCTGCAAATGCGATTTAATTACGTTTTCCCGAAGAATCTCTGTGTTTGTCATAATTCCTTCAACCACAGGATGAATCAAGGTCATATTTGTATTTGGTATATTACGGAAGAATAATTTGATATGAATTCAGTGTTAGAGGAATGAGTGTAAAGTTGTCTGAGAGATTAAGGTCCTTTATAGAAAGCCTAAGGGTACCTTAGGAATCCTTAGATTCTTAGAAAGAAAATCTTAGGATGCTCATGCTTTGCAAAATTATTTTTAATACTTTTTTTAATACCGTTACGCCGTGAACAAAGATGGACTACAATGAACAGAAATGGCTCTAAATCAAAGCAGCAGCTAATTGTTTTCGAGCAGTATTATTAAATAACATGCTTGTAGTGCCTTCGAATGGCATATAAGTTTGGAGATATGCTTATTGCATTATTAGATGTGCCAAGTTACTGGATGCCGGAATATCAGTTGGTCGGTTATTTGAATATGGAAGAGAATACAGATGCTATCTGTCTAAGGTAAACTGGTTGCTATTCACGTTACACATAAAAAACCAGCCATGCAACAAAGCTGTTCGCCTTGGTTCGAACTGCCACTACTCAGCAGTTTTAACGTTTTAACAGCTCAGTCACTAGTGAAACTGTAGAATTATCAGACTTTAATCGCAGATGATTCCGAGCCCACTCAAGACCAGGGTCAGTGTTAGGCGTTTTGGTCTCTCGGTCCAATGTCTGCCTTCCTAAATTCTGCCGCCCAGTGCCTTTTAAATTCTAAAACATTTGCTAATCTTAATTACCGCTGCTCATTGTGGCCTCACCTGCTGCATCGGCTGTGACGCCAGTCTTGCTCAAGACTCATGCCAGGTGGTGTTGCACTCAGTTGTTAAACAGTTTATAAAAGGGTGCATTTTCAGAAATCCCAAGTCTTTATTTCATCATTTAAATTTTGTAACCTGCAGTAACTTCAAAAACTGACTAAATGGTATACAAAATTTTATCTTCAACGCAGCTGAGTTACCAGTCTCTACATCTTCCTTTACTACTGTTTATAAGAGAAAATTTCAATGTTATATCAACACATGACAGTTACTCATATAGGCGCAAAACATTATTCCGTAAATTTACAGTCGTACTCTAAAAAGGCATAATGCCGAACTTTGTCTGCTTTCAGAACTTATTTTATAGTTTTATTACAATTATTTCGTTTTAAAATGAATTTAATTCATAGGTACGGTGGACATTTACCAGGCGTGTTAACTAGATTCGGCACTAGGTATGGTAATGCTTCATATGAAGTCCTGAGACAACGTCCCATGGTAGCCTCTCGTTTAGCACCATTGAGATCCGAAGAGGAGAAAAAGAAGGAAGATTCATTTCCCCTCCATTGCCAATGCAAGAAAGGTATGTATAAATATCTGAAATACGTCAATATTATTTTGCATAATTTAACGGCATGTAACAAAATGTTATCAAGATGAGTGAAATTGTATTTCATAATTGCAAACTGTAAATCGAAAACAGCAGATTAGCATTTATAAAACGTTTTGCTTTGCAAAGTATTTACAGTAAGCGTTGCTTAATGTGATCCCATTTGTCGGCGATTATGAAATTAAACTATGAGAAAAAAATGCCCTTCAAAATAGCAATGGAATTTAACAAGTTTAATATAACTAGAAATGTATAAATAGATGCTTTCAGAGCATTTTAATTACGAATAGGCAAAAAGTTTGTTCATGAATTGTTCGCAATGTCTTTAATAAAAAACTTCATTTAAGAACTGTTTATTACATTTTATTATTTCAAATTATTTGTAATAATAAAATGTTTATTACAAATTATTTGACCGTTGCTAAACCTTTAATCTCAATACTTGGAGGCATCACTCATATTAAGAACCATGCCAATGTAAAATTTAAAATTAAGCCAGAAATTTAATTTTAGATGTTTCCATCGGATATTTGTTTTTCTCCAGAAGCACGCAAAAAGAGGAAAAATCTCTGAAGAAGACGGATCTGTGTTTGACCGCCCTCAAACTCGATAGAGTTATTCAAAAGCTACGCCAAAATAAGTTTGCCTTTTATGCTTAACTTTAAATGGTTGATCGAAATCGAAACCAAGCTATTTGGGGATTTAATCCATTATTTGGCAAAATTTCTGTGTCACTTGCCAGTTTTTATAATCCTTTTTGATCTTATAAGATTTCTGAAATATTTTGCTGTTGTTTACCTAACTATTGATCACAATAATCAAATTCTTTTTCAAGTTTTCGCATGTAAGCAGGCGGGACATGTTCGATAATGATATCCGAATGATAAAATATCAATCGCCATCATAATAAGCGGCATCTTCTATAGATTAAATGAGAATGTTCAAATGCAGTACGTTCTCACGAATACTTATAAAAAAATTTTTTATGAAAAGTAAAATAAAATAGTATGCAAATATGTTATCTAGATGATTTATTTGTAAGTTTAATCTATTTGTTTTCTTATTTTCAGTTACCCTTTTAATGTCGGTTAAATTTCCGAAGATCCAGTCTTTTGTCGGTTTAGAAATTAAATAAAAATGTGTCGAAATACACTGGTGAAATAAGTTAGGAGAATTTGCAAATTTTATAGAATTGCATGAAAAGAACTGAACTGAAAGAAAACTACTGCTTCTAGATAAAAATGTAAATCTTGTACGACAAATACGTAAGCGTACACGTGTGTGTAGGCGAAGTCAGCAGAAAAACAGGCTTTATAGGTTAGGTTAGGTTATTGAATTATGGCAAAGCCTTGAGGGCTATCTGCCTAAGGGGAGGGATGCCTTCGTGGAGGACTTTCTAAGGGAAACTGGCTCGTATACACGTTACACGTGGGGAAAACCACGAAAACACCCATGCAGCCAGCCCGTTCGCGGGATTCGAACCTCAAAACAGGCTTTATAAGCGCGGTGGAGGGTAAGACGAATTGCGTTCGCTAGCACACCTCTGCGAATTTCTTGGTGTTATCTTGAAACAATCGGTTAAATTCACATCGGAACAGTAAAAATAAGTAACCACCAACGTTTAGATGATGGAATGAGGTGGCGAATTGTGGGGAGGCTATAGGCAGGCCAATCGCAAGTCCAGATATGCAGAGAGTTTAATTTAACGCCCAGCGTCATGTGTAACCTCTGGAAACAGTTCGAGGATACTGGATCCATCGAGAGAAAGCCTGAGCGTCCCAGAGCCCCGATGGCTAGAGAAGATCACTATTTGTCCATTTTAGAGCGACGTAACAGACGGGTTACAGCTTCTCAGCTCTCTTGGGACCTGTATGCAGCCACAGGAACCCATGTAACAAGGGTGACTGTTTCGAGCAGACTGAATGAGAGAAAACCGTCTGTTTGCTTCCCACTCACGTCTACGGACAAGAGAGTCCGATTAGCATGTTGCAGGCAGCATAGTGATTGGAGTACGGAGCAAGTCCCGTTTTAATCGTTCTGTTCACCGACGAGTCCTGTTTTAGCCTAAATACCGATTCTCGTCGTACTTTCATATGATGAGAACCGCTACCTACCCTCCAATGTCCGCCGCGAAATCAACAACTACGGCGTGGCGGTTAATGGTTTGGGTAGGCATCACATTGGATGGCCGCACACCTCCCCACGCCTTTGACAGTGGCTCTGTGGCCTGTATGGCTGTAAGAGGGGACCATACCCCCGATTAACCCATTTCTTTTATGTCTTCTGAAACCGCTGTTTCAGACCTTCAGACTCTCATAAGTGTTACACACGACCATGTGTATCTATTATAACTGTTGAATGTTTATTTTGTTTGAATTATATCAACCTATGTTCACAAAATTTTATTAAAATCTGTCCAGTAGTTCTGGAGATCGCAGATCAAATATGAAAATTCTCTTTAATTTTTTACACCAGTGTATATTTAAAAGAAGCTGGAATTGCGAAAAAGAAATAAATGAAATTAAACTTCTTCAACGAATATATTACAACAAATTTTGTACAATGTAACTTGAAGAGTCCGAAAAGAATGAAGCATTTCGCTGCTGGCGATAGTTTTGCAATCGATTATAAATACATCCTCGTTGTCGTTGATTAATTCATTAAGTGGCCTGAAGCTATCTGTTTCTGATAAAGAAGCTGTCACAGTAGCAAATGTAATGATACAGCATTGGATTTCGAGGTTTGGAGTGCCTCTTCAGTTACATTCCGATCAAAGAAGCAATTTTACCTCAGCTATAATTAAACAACTTTGCAAACTACTCCGCATAGACTAAACCCAAACGACACCTTTACATCCACAGTCAGACTGCGTGGCAGAGAGGTTTAATGGAAAAATTCTTAATAACCTTTCGCTAATGGTTTCCAGAAACCAACAGGAATGGGGCCAGAAGTAACCTGTTTTTCACTGCGCTAAGGTAGTGCTCTGCACAAGACTGCCAGATATTAATCACCTCTAATACTCTTCTGTCGGAATCTCCCTACTTACTTACTTACTACCAGCTGAGTTGCTGTACCGCCTGTACCGCCTGTTATATGACTATCAGCATTTGTACTCAATTGATGGAGCATTCTATTGTCACTAGGCCTGGCCAAAAATCTCTATGGGATATTAAAATTTGTAGCGGAATTTCTAAAGTTACTTCGGAGGATGGGTATTTGTGACCTATGGTTATTAAAAAGGCCTCGCCAAGACTGTGCTGAAAGGGGATTTAACAATGCTTTATGCATTGTGATTCTGAGTTTACAGAGAATGTTTACTCTAGAAATCAGTGGTAAGTTGGAAATAAGAAGTTGTTCAGATGCATTCGACTGAACAATATCAACTGAGTATATTGATGTACATCATACGTGCTGTTTACATATTTACAGAGTTCCTGATTAATATTTGCTTGTCTCATTCCTAGTAGTCATTTGTGTTATTCATTTACTTACGGTTCTCTTACCATTTACATATGTACAGTCTGCCTGATAACTGAAGGTAACGCTGAGAAATACAAATCAGTGTGTAGCGTTGTAAATTTATGTGTTCATTGAAACACATGTGCGGTTCACTTCCTCAGAGCCTCAATTTATATCTGCTTGACATTTTGTACCGGTTACTGGTACAGAACACTTGAAAATGGGGCTAGAAGACCTGTTGTTTGGCCTCTCTCTGGATGGGCTATCATCACCTGAGGTGTATTTAAGTTCTCCAGGCACGGTTTAAAATGAAGCACAATTTTGATGCCTCCCTTTTCTTTAAGCAATGATATAGTAAACACCTTTCCCCCTAGGCACTGATTGAAAAGCATAAAAAAATTAGGTATTTACAATAAACTCTTAATCGAGCAAGGATTTGCGGAACGCGATTTCACATGTAAGTATAATTATCTTAACTTTTTTCATTTAATTTTTACAGCGCTAGAATTTCATTCATATACGATTCAACAATTAACAATGAATACTTGATGGCATCAGCTCTGGTTAGATGCTAACAATTTTAAAGGATTTCCATTGACTGCAAATGAAGCCTAAGTAATCACACAAATTGCGAAAATAATTCGTAACGAAGGATTTTCAACCATAGGAGGAGAAAGTCAAATAATTAATCGAGATGTAAGGTGTGAAAAATTGGTTGATCTTATAACACCAGCTGACGGTCGAAACAGTGGTAACGAAGAAAATAAAATGCCTTTAACTTAGGCACAAGAACTATCTGATTTTGCAATGGATATTTATCCAAATTAAGAAAGAAGATGACGCTTAATGACAGGCATTAACAAAACTCCCTGCTGCTTCCCGCAAAATGTTTTAAAAGCTGTGTGCCAAGCAAAGAATCACCAGCTTTTTAAAAAATAATTATATCAATACTTATCAAGCAGTAGTAAAAAGCCTTTCGCTAAACATTTTTTTTACCTTTTAATAACAATAATACTTTTATGCGCATAATTTCTTAATATGAATTGTACTTAACCTATTTTTTTTTTTTTTCATAGACAATTAATTTGGCAAAACGCGATTTTGCCGTACGCTCAATGGATTTGTAAAGTAACCCCGCATTTACTAAGGGTTTATCGCATCGCATTTGTATTGCATCCAATTATTAATTAAAACTTTTAATGCAATGCAGAAATAATATGGCAGATATTAACGGTTTTGTAAAATATTGATAGTAATGATCCTGCAAACATGCACAAATAGTATGCTGCTTGGGCTTACTGGATATCGCTGCAAATACGGATCTGTGATCACGTTTTTTAGAATAATGGAGGAATAGTTTGTAAATGCCGATCTCTTGGAATAGAAAAATGACTCTACATGCAATTTGGACTAATTTGTGTGAGGTTCGACTGAGATAATATGGTAAGATTCTCGTGAAAATGTGTTACTGTAGTATTTATATAATCACGTTAAAGTTTCACTTTGTTTTTTAAAGTGGTAAAGCAACCACATTTTCTAAATGTGTCCTTTTGCCAATTGCTTTTGAAGACTTCTTTATTATAATTTTGAATCAGTAAAGGCCCCTTTACTCTAGCGGTGCGATAACCATATCGTTTCCGATCTACCGTTTTTAATTAGTTATTTGTTTTGTAAATGATTTTTTAGATTTTTAAATTGGTCTTTGTTTTAATCATTTCCTTTACCTGCCATTTTATCGCACGTTTGAACCTAAAAATAGCGTTTCAGTGAAACTATCTAAGAAATAAAGCGGTAGACCGCATGCTACAGGGAATATTCATGCATTTTTAGAATGAATTTGGGGCCATTTAATTAATGTTTAAAATGCAATGAGCATTTTTTAAAGTGTTCGATCTGATAGATTTTTTTTTTTTTTTTTTTTTTTTTTTTTTGTTTTTATTTTTTTTTTTTGGGATTTTTTTTTTTTATTTTTTTTTTTGGATGCTGCGTCGTGATTTCCATGATAGAAGCATTTTTCGTAAAATATCCGGAGATACTGATTTCTTATTCCTCTTCCAATACTTTGCAGAGTCCATCAATGGCAGTGGGTTTGTTTTTAGAAAAAGCTCTCGAAAGGCACAATAACAATAGTCCATAAGTAAGATGTGTGTGAACTTTGCAGGAATACGTTGAAAGGGTATATGTACGATATATTGTTACGAATTTTGTATTTAGATAACTAATTTTAGTAGAATTACAATTAAAATTGTTATATTTTCCCGTGCAATGCAGCGTGAGACAAATTTTAAGAGAAGCTGTGCCGAAAAAATATGAATACAGGGGCACGTGCATTTAATATTGAGTAAATTGTTATCTCGGTAATTTGTATAGAAACTGAATAAATGTAATTGATTGCTATGATAGCTGTAACCGTAATTCCATCCTCTCATCCTCTTATTGCTTTCCAGTAATTTCGAGAAGTACAAATTGCTAGAAATATCTCACGCGGCCTGTGAAAAACTATTTAAGGCGAAGAGAGAACATCTCTTAATTTTGAACTTCTAGACGGCATGGATGTTTAATTTTACATCTCTTCATGTAAGATGACTGAACTAGTTAAATCTAGACTCGACAGATAGCACCACATTACAGTGACTTTTCATTATGTCTCGCTTTGCTCCGACCTGTTTGGTTTGTGGCCCCTCTTTCTCCAGCTTCCTCCGATTTCTCTTCAGGCATTTTCCCACGTCCCGAATTTTATACGTCATGTGTCTTCTGGCTTTAATTCAAGAACCGGCAAAGTTGCATCTTCAATAGTTTGGTATGTTAAAGTATCTAAGTTCTAAGTTATAAAATGCGATAAGTTGCGAGTTCAGCGTGAAATCGGATTAGCATTCTCTTTGCATTGCACTGTATTTTAACGTTTTCAGTAGCCTGTTGTATAATTACTGATTATATTGCATGATATTGTGAACACTTGTACGAATATCTCTGAGGAAAATTTCAGCGTTTTGTTATATTTCTTTTGATAAGAATAAATTTTATTAACCTTTTATCGGATTTGTGCATTCAATCTATTACGAATGCGTACGCACGCAACAATATTTTCATTTTTCCAATTTTTCATTTTTTTTAAGCAATGCTGTGGTACTTTTAGAATTATGACTTGTTGCTTTATTTTGATGAAGTTTCATTCTTTCAACGTCATTGAGATAAATAAATGAAATTTCTTCTGTAAATATCGGACGTAAAACATTTTCACACAGGAGTCTACGAAATGTTCTTCTTTAAGCCGCATGCCTTGGCAGAAGATGGTGAACATTACGTTTTTGACCATTTTTAAGTTCTAAATCTTAGTTTATTATTTTATTTAATATTGCTGCAGATGTATTTAAAGACTTTGCGAATGATTTCTGCTTCGGAGTGATTTTTTTTTTCTTGCTAGGAAAGATTTAATTTTAGAAAAATTAAAAACAATACGTACCTTTTCGGGTATTCGTTTGGATTCTTCTTTCCATGCAGAAGTTATGACTGACGGTTTTTGCCTTTCCGATCAAAAATGTTGCTCCTTCCTCTTCGGAAAGCGCAAAAAACTATCCTTCGATCCACAGTTTATTTATATGCAACATTTTGAAAGAAGAATAAATTTAAAAGTAGCGGACAGTATTCCTCATTTCAAATAATAAGCTGCTGCTAGAAATTTTCATTCAAAGCATTTGCTTTTTTAAAAAATCCTTTATCGAAATCGTACTAAAAGGACTAAGGATCTTGATTCCTTCAGAAAGGCAGCCAGATCTCCGTATCTCACTGTATTTCCTAGTAATCAAATAGTCCCCAAATTGTCCACTCATCACCGAGACGATTTTCTTCACTACCTCTCATCACTAGATTAATCATAGTCAGATTCTTCTTGGCATCAGCAGCAATACTGCATTTAACAACGATTTTAAATAACCGCTATATGATTAATGTTTTATAAATTGTAATTTACTTTCGGCTGCGGATGTACATTGATATCCAAAATATAGGAAAAACCTGAAAATATTAAGTAAATATGTTTGCTCAATTAAGCATTGCGTGCCTAATAAGGTTTAAAAGCACCTTTTGGTGTTGCTTGCTTTTGGAATGGAGGTCTACAGGATCTGAATCGTTGTAATAATTATTACCATTCTTGTGCTAGAAACCGCTCCTCTTCCTTGAGAGGTGCTGGGGGAAAAAAAGGCTATCTATCCAAAGAATATTTATCTCCTTAGAGATTCTTTGATCTATCTCTCAGTGTTTTACAGCACATACAGTAGTGATTCAACGCTATTTAAACTTGGTAATTTTACAGCTTAAGGAAGAAGTATAACTTCATCTTCATGTTCTTTAAACTACTGCTGAACAGTTTGACATAAAATGATGACATTATCATTTTGAACGAAGTAGTTACTCTTAAAAAACGTGTCTGCACCATAACGAACTTAAAATGGTTAAAATAGTTATATAATCGATATTTATTCTTTCTTATAAGGGAATGATTGGATCTGCTGCAAACCATGAAATAACTGCCTAAAACATAATTCGGCCACAACCATATTTTACTGTAGGAAACGCAGAGTCTGGATCGCAAGTTTCTGCTGGTGTTCTTCATAGGTGGAAAAGAGTATTAAGGTTGCTTCAGATAAGAACTGATTTTTTTTCCATTAATGAACATTCCATGTTTAAAATTCTTTGCGCTAATTTGTCTCTAGTTTCTTGTCTCTAATTTGCATCTACTTGAGATAGCAGTTCTGACTTAAATATCTAGTTTGATGTAATCTCGTGTATTCCATCATATTTGAACTAAAAAGGTGAAAAGAAAAATAGCATAGCCACTTTGCACATTTAATCTCCATCTTAACATTTTTATTAATGTATTTCTTAATTTTAGAAATTCAGCTACACAAGCAAGGAATTATTACAAATGAAGAAGAAATGTTCCTTCCTGAACACATTTGTCCTGGTTATACAGGTAAAAAGAATTTTTTAGTCATTTTGTTTAGCCTCTGATAGGCTAATTACAAACCTCAGTAATTCGAAATGCATTTTAAAAGTTTAGTTTTAAAATTTTTTCTAAAAGTTTAATTAAAATATAATTTAAATCTAAATTATCGGTATTGATATAGGTATGCGTAAATACTATATATGTAATGAATTTTTATTAAAGGCTTACCTCAGGATACTGCAGTTTATGTTCCAGTTACACTATAATAAGGTGAATTTTTAATAAGAAACTCAAAAAAATTCTGAGATTTCCCATTGCATATAGGAAAAGATATTTATATTTTACATGCTTTATTCTGTAGAGAAATAATGTTAATACTCCTTCTAATTATTTGAGTGGTCACTAGAATTTCGTTCTTTGAACTTCCGATAAGAACTTTCCATTTGCATTTACAATTCGATGAACTGTTGCTATTCGAAGAGTTTCTCTTTAAGAATAATTATTGCTGCAGGCTAGGCAAAACGAGAAATGTTTGAGTTAAAACAAAGGTATTTAAAATAAGTTTCCCTGCGCCACTAGGAGTCGAATGGTTAAACCGATTAATACAATTAGTTAGACTTAAGTTCGACCCAAGGGGTGAATCGACTGGCTTCATCATTGGTTTTCATGATTTTATCCAATGCATAACATCAATACTAGCCAGTTTCCCTTAGGAAGTCTTCCACGAAGGCATCCCTTCTCTTAGACAGCTAGTCCTTGTGTACTTTGCTGTATCCAAACAACTTAACCCAATCTAACTTACATACGGTTCTGTCGATTATGAAAGTTGGTGGCTATACCGCCAAACATGCACAAAATTCCGACGAAAATTTTAAGGGCCAAATTAGTCAGACATGGATATAGCGTATAACTTGAATAAGTATGAGTTTCGCCTTACTCATCGCCACTGTTTATCGTTTCCAAGTGAGGTTCCATTATCGTGCCCTTTAACGCCCACATTTTTCACGGCAGGATCCCTAATTTTGAAAGACGCTATTCTGCATGCTATTCCATTAAAGAGCATGTTTCAAATTGTAATCCAAGTTTTCAAAATCCAAAGGGGAAGCAGAGAAACAGCGGTTAACTTATATTCCTTTTTTATAAAAACAAAACTGACTTTTATATGACTCATCGCGGTTACATAAAACTATGGAGAAGATCATAAAGGCAGTTCACGATACGGTTTAGCTAAGCTAACGAACACGTCTCGCACACCTGAAATTGCTTCACGGTTTCGAAAACCACTCTTTTCTTCAGTTCAAAAATCTGAACTTCACGTATGGCGGAGCTAAAGCAGACATATTAAACCGGCTCCTTTAGCTCAGATATATCCCAGTGTGAACGGCTGTTTAGAGTGTCTTGTGATGCCACGCTTATCCATCATTGACGCTAAACAATATTACTTGTCATACTCTTATTACTATCGAAAATGTTCGTGGGAAAGTGCGTAGGTACAAAATGAATTAACAATTACCCCTCTTTGATCTGAGGCAATTGTACGATTATACTCTACTTTTTTAAGAAGTTATCGAATGTTTTAAATGTTTATTTTTTTTTTTTTTTTTTTTTTTTTTTTTTTTTTTTTTTTTTTAATGGTGATCTCAAAAACAAAATTTGAATTTTCGTGTCACCACAAAATCTTCTACGAACGGTGAAGTTTTTATAAAAGCGAATTTGTTTCTTTGCACTCAGAAGTAAATCCTCTCATGCTACAGTAGCGTACATTGGAATGGAGAAGAGTGTGTGTGTGATTATGGCAAAGCCTCGAGGGCTATCTGTCTCAGGGGAGGGATGCCTTCGTGGAGGAATTTCTAAGGGAAACTGGCTCGTATACACGTTACACATGGCGTTCGCGGGATTCGAAGGAATGGAGAAGGGAAAGGTTAGTAAACTACACGGTGTGCTCTTCTCTGAAGTGACTGACACCTCTGCTCAGAAACAATTTTTTTCAATACTCCCTTTGTGCCTTCGTTTCTGCTATTTTTAGTCCAAAGGGGTTTTGTCCCTGAAGGATTATTGTTTTCGTTTTGCGATTTTGCGTTGAAAACTTTGAAAGGCTGTATCACTTTTCAAATCGTTGCCACCAAATACTATCGCCCTGTATTATATTTGAAGAAATTGAATAATGAAGAATCTGCATAAATGTATGATGTTTCTCGCATTGTGATAAAACAACGGTACCTAGAGCCATCCGATTTTGAATGACGTAATCCTACTGCGAATACGGACATCTTAAAGCCCAAATTTGAAATTTGGAATTTGTTTTATTATCAATTTCTTATTTTGTAAAACTTTAATGAAGTTTTGATTAATAAACTCAACGATTTAAAAGCCAGCATTGGCAATATTCTACGGGGAAAAAACCTTTTTATTTCCAAAGCGCAAAGTTATCCGCAAAGCAATCAAGAAATTGCAGTTGGGAAGTTCATAGTAATATATACACTATTTTACTGTTATCCACAGAAGCAAATGTTATGCAAATAATAACTTGGCTCCCAGATTTAAAAAAAAAAACTAATTTTTTCAATACAATTCTAAATTGTCCAAAACGACAGATTTTTAATACAATTCCAGTCTATACAAACTGACAGGTATTCCATAAATATAAAGCACATGTTCCAAAAAGTGCTATAATTTATTCCATTACATGTATCTAATTTTGCTTATAAAATGGCTACGATATTACACAATATCTTCGAGTTGTTAAAAACGTCTACTGAAACACAGTAACTAATTCCGAATTATAATAAACATGAAATACATAATTCTTCAGTACATATTATTTACCAATCAATCATACCATATAAATACACATGTTTCAAATGCTGCAACTAAGTTTTCATTACAGTTAGAATATTTACCTATCAATCGTACTGTATAAATGCACATATTTCAGATACTATGGTTAGTGACCCTTACTGGCGTAGCGATGGATCCGAACTCGAATCCCGGAGAAGGCATGGTTGTAACTGTCCATCCCTTCATAGGAAGCAACGGGGGCCACCTATTAGGTGCTTTCATAATGAAATGACCATCACTTTCGGGTTTGTTTGCAAGAAAATTTCGCATCCAAGCAGTAGTATTTTCCTCATCCTTTTCTATTTGCACAGTCTACTTCGCACAGCAAAATGTTCGTCTAAATGTTCATCTATTTTATCTGTTTAATTGTGTTTATCTTTTTTATTTGATATTTTATGATTTCCATTTGTTTTGGGGTTAGGAATTTGTGCACAAACTGCTGTTGTAAAATTTAAAATTAACATCTGTGGTACAGGAACGAATTAATGCATTTCATATTAATTCCAATTGGAAAATTGTTCCGTTTACGAACATGCAGTTAACGGATGGCCTTCAAAAACAAATTAAGTTCGTGAATCGAAGTTGCACTGTACTTCTATTTATCTAGTAAAAATGCAATATCATCACATGATGTCTGTTCTTTCCCGCTACGGAATTAAATTCCTTTCAAACTTTCTTTTGCCTGAATCCTAAAAGGTCCCAATTCTAAAACTAGTCTAAAAATTTCTAATGGTTTGGTTACATTATTTGTAATATTTTTTTTTCCGAAAAAAAAATATACAATATTGATATATTGATTTCTCTCTCACACACAGTGTCTGCGTAACAAAAACTCTCTGGTGGCAATAAATCAACTTTTGCTTTTTAGTTGCGAACCAAGGAATTCAGAACTTTCTTCTGCAGGTACAAATGCTGTTGTCAATCAAACATAGGTATAGTAATGACTCACATCAGACGATTTATGTGATGACTGCTATTTCTGCAAAATATATCTTGCATGTTATATAGAAATAGCAGTCCCCATAATAGTTTTGCGTTTTCTTCAAGCCACTGGAATAACAAAGGAACTGAAGAAGTTTTATTATACTTTTTTTTTTCCAAAAGTTAGAATATTCTGCGAGGTGCCAATAGCATATTTTGGCTCCCAAATTTAAAACCAAAATAATAAAGCTTGTGGAACTATATAGAAAGCTCCGTATTGTAAAACCTGCACATTAATCACTAGTTTGCAGTCTCAAAGACGCTAGTTCCCAATATATTGGAAGATGTTAATTCCCAGAGCACTAAATGTTGAAAGAGGTCTCCAAGAAATTCAGATCTGGACTTTCCTTATGAAGTCGCTCAAAAATCCTTGGTTTGCGCAGAGAAGGATCTAAAAATCAGTTGGCCTGGTCTCAGATTGATTCCACTATCATCGAACATATGTCAACTGTCATCACTTCCATCATCTTCCACTGCGTCATAAGCAAGGTAAACGTCATTTTGAATATATTCTATAACGTTCCCATGCAGCCACTACATTCACTGGAATCAACAGCTAAGATGAACATCCAATGTTCACAGGTTCTATACACTTGGCTCCTACAGAACCATTTTTACTTTCTTGTACTAAGGAAGCATTGTAATCACGAAAAATTTCGGGTATCATATTTCAAAGAAAATATACATTTTGACCGCCATCGAATGCAATTTAACGATGTTTTTGAATTACATCTGTATGTAAGGACAGAATAAAGGACTCTTTTTACCCAAACGAATTATAAAACGTATTCAAAATGGATTCAGAAGAGATTTTTTCGCGGCGTATGTACGTATGTATCTCGCATAACTCAAAAACGAATAGCATCAGAACGTTGAAATTTTGTATGTGGGACTGCTATAACATGCAGATGTGCACCTCTCATTTTGGTTGCAATCAGCGCCCCAAAAGTGTATAAATATATATATCCTCTCTGTTAGTCGGTTCAGTGAACTCAGTTTCTTTATTCTTATATGTTTGTAAATTGTGCATTTTTTGCTTAAAAACGGCTGAATTATGTTGTTCTTATCTTCCGGTTAAGTTTATTATACCTTTAGTTAACCTGCGTGTTATAGTTGTAGAATTATCAACAATTTAAAATTGTTTAAGTGCGGCTAAGCCTATTTGTTTTACCATAGCAGCCATATTTGTTTAGCAGAATAGTGGATTTGATGCCAATCTAGAGAAACTAAGCTTCACAAAGTAACATCTTTTATTGTTGCGAATTAAATTATGCTTAATTCATTCTGGAATTATCGTTTGAGTTATTAAATTATTCCATATATTGACTCAGTTCATAGTGTCCACAACAAATTAAGTCAGTTTTTAGGCCTTCAGTGTCTTTTTTCTGAGTGAGACCAAAAGTAAACTTTCAGTTTTGTGCACCGAAAAACCTGCCTTCTTGCCCACTGGCCGAATTGCTCGTTTTTGCGTAGAAACTAATTTTAAATTGTAAAAAAAAAAAAAAAAAAAAAAAAAAAAAAAAGGGAATTGTTTTAACCGTATTTGGTGTTTTATGTTTTCCTATATCTTTCAATTTTTAATATTGTATTTTGAGATTTTATGTATTTTAGCCTTGTCGCAGATTGATTAATGAATTAATTGAATGAGAAATATATCTCTAATGAAATTCGAGGAACTAAGTTTAAATGAAATGCAGCAAAAAATGCGTATAATTTCATATTCCGTTCAAGGAAGTCATGTTGTGTACATATCAGATTTTTGTAAGTTGGGATTTAAATTGGCTGTTGTTATTGCTAATCTCAGTGACTCAGACGCAGAGCCTCTGTAGCATTCTCGTGAATGGTTTAAGATGAAGCGAGCTCGCATTTGTATTTTGCCAAGGCCTTAGGCGTTGGCAAATGACAAATGCGTGCTCTGTTTGATGACCAACTCCATCGCAATTTCCATCGAGAACACTTCAGTTACGGAATTCTGAAAGCCTTATTACCTCATAACGCTTTTCTGTCGAACGGGCTTTGGCTGGACGGATTTTAAGTGCCTCCTGATGTAAATGCCATGGATCTCTGCTATTACAACCATCCATGTTTTCTTTGGTATTCGAACCCAGGGTAGCAATATGATAAAGGATAGCTTTGAACTAATAATAGTGTGGTGTATAAAATATATGAATTGCACTGAGCTCATGATTTGCGTTTTCTGTGTTTAGTTTTTCTCTTTGAAATTTATGGAAGTATGATAATTAAAGACTAATTAATATACTAAAGAATCAAAATGCTTATTATAATTTTAAGTATTTTAAAGCACCTTTTCATGTTTGCCTTTAAATAACCACAATATGTATTTATATAGCGTTTTATATTAGTTTTAACTTATCTTAGTACGGTTAACGTCTGTGTTATATAAAAAATCAAATACGTAAAATTTTCCGTATGTTGCATGGAAAAAAAGGGGGAAGAAAGGCATTATATTTGTTAATAAAATCGCGATTATGGATATAGAACAAAATGATAATTTTTACCTTTCTAATGGAATTACTTTTCCGAAAAGGCTGCCTTTCCTTGAAGAAGAAAGGCCTTCCACTTAACATTTGTTGTGATGAAGTACTGCGGTCCTTGGGCTGCCATCAGGATGCGTATCAGATAACAGAGAGCAGGCAAGAGGATCCTTTCCCTGGACCCCCACCTGTCATCGACCATACCCAAGATGCAGGAAGACTAAAAGATGGAATGTGGCTCAGATGTGAGTGTTCTAAATTCATTATTTAGAATAAAATCTGGTAGAACTGCTAAATTTTACGATAGTTTATTCCCTTGGTTGTCAGGCGGCCGCCTGACAACCAAGGGAATAAACTACCCGGGTTTAACTAACTACCCGAATAAACTACCCAGGTTTAACTAACTACCCGAATAAACTACTCGGGAACTCGGGATTTTTTTTTTTTTTGTTTTTTTTTTTTTTTTTTTTTTTTTTTTTTTTTTTTTTTTTTAAGTCGGGAAACACTAAGCTTTGTCATTTCTTTTGCTCAGAACGCTTACAGTACACATGAACCGTAAAGTAGGGTGATCAAACATTTTGAAATCAAGGGTGCAAGAGGGAATAAAATATATTACTGCCAAAAAATAACTCTATTATTAATGAGGAAGAGGGAAAAACGAAACTGTGTTGCGGCGGCATTGTGGGCGCGGTATTGACCATTGTTTCCTCGAAGAGTTACTTTTATAAAAAGAATAAAACACCTAAATTGGTTGATGCAAATATGTTTATTTAAAAATCGTTTAAAATTACATTACTTAAAAATATTATCAAATTTAATACGGTACATGAGTTTGAAAATCTTTGCATGTTTCTGCAATACTGGGACGAATAAATAAGTAAACACCTAGCATTCTCGTTTTCTAAATTTTCAGGCAGTGGCGTTCCTTTGTTTTAATAATCGTTTTAATACCACCGTTGAAATTCCAGAATCCTAACGATATGAAATGGAAAAAAATAATAATTTTTTTATAATAATCGGGTATTCATCTTTTTTTAACAGAGGTTCAGAATTTTTCAGAAATAGTTTCAATGAATTTTAATTTAATCCGCGATCTGAAGGGAGCGGTATCAGTTCTTCTTCATTCAAAGTATAACTGGAGAAGTCGGGAGAAACAAAAGGATATTTTATCTAATCGAACTGTTCAGTGTTTAAGAATGGGAAATATTTTTCAAAATTATTCTTCTATTACAGTTAAATTTTCAAGTATTAGTAAAATCGCTATTTCAATTGTATCTGGCATGAAAGGAAACTTTTTTTTTTTTTTTTTTTTTTTGTGTGTGTGTGTTTATTTCTGTTTTGTGCCTCTTCCATAGTAAAAGTCTTTTTTTCATTGGACATTATTTGTCAATCGATGTAATAATGTTTTTATTATTTCCTTCCGTACTTATATTGACAATATGAAAGTAAACGAAAATATCAACTAAATAGCTAAATTACTTAACCAGTTATCATTTTTCAGATATTTTCGAAAAGTTTCGTGTTTCTCTTTTCGCAGAAAATTTAAACAGTAATTTAGTTCTTAACTGCGGCATATGCTTTAAAAATCTTTCTGCGTGAGAGCCACCTCCTGTTTACTTCTTCACACAGCAGTGTGAAGAAATAAAAATTCGTAGTCTACTTCCATAGATGAACAAAATTGTAATAAAATTAACCATGGAAACAGTTTGATCCAATACTTCGTTTAGATTTTTAGGCATTGTCTGTCAGAAACAGGTGCAAAAAGCAAGGCATTTCGGGCATCATAGTGATAAAATATTATGTACTGCTGGCCATTAAAACGGCAAAACCAGGAACGAATGATTTGACAAACATCAAAATCACATGAAAGGAAGAAGAGATTGGGATATGCAGATGGTTAGTATTTCAGCGCATTTAGACGACGCAGGATGGAGAAACGACATCTGAAGCACTGCATAAAAGAAGAGTTGTGTAATGGATTTCTCATTCGGAAAGCGCTTTGTAAGGTTAGAGTTTGCTCAGAATATCGTGTTATGCCTCGAATAATAAGAACAAATGCTTACCAGCAAGTGTCGGAAATCGATAGAAGGTAGGATCGTTGTTAGTCGAGAGTGTGGATTATCGTCTCATGATATCACCCGTCGCACTGGTGGACATCCAACCATTGTCATGCGACTATGGAATCAATTAGTTGCTGAGGGTCATACTGAACGGCATGCAGAATCTCAGCGCTCTCTCCTGATTAACGCCCGAGATGACGGACATATTGTGAGGTCAGTCCTGCGAAACCGTACAACCATATAAAGGACCATTAGTTAGGAAATGGGCATGTTTGCAGCACAGCCAGAATCCACTCGTACGATGCGTCGACGTTTACAGCAACGTGAACCATCAACTTTACCTTGACAATGCAGCATAGAGACAGACGGCAACTCTGGTTCGCCGAACCAGATTACACAGGGTAACGAATCTGGTGCGCCGAACGACAAAGCTGGATACAGGTGTAGCACAGTGTCATCTTTTCAGACGATTCCCGCTTCTGCGTGCAGTATTCTGATGGCCGTAGACGTGTCTGGAGGCTCCAAAGAGACTGCACGTTGCCTGCTTGCATTCAGTATCGGCATAGGGACCCTTGTACCTGGCGTGATGGTTTGGGCAGCCATTGGGAACACGAGACGCACATCTTTAGTTCGGATCGACGGTAATTTGAACACATATGAGTACATTTCTAAAATCTAACGTCCAGTGGTTGTACCCTATCTTCGAGGCCTGCCAAACTCCATCTTCCAACAAGATATCGCAAGTTGTTATTGCATTATCTTGTTGGACACACATGTTGCACGTCGTGCTCTGACCTTCCTGGATACACAGGGTATTCGATTGCTGCTCTGGCCTGCACGGTCTTCAGATCTATCACCCATTGAAAACATCTGGTGATGGGTTGCTGAATGACTGGCTCGTCATTCCCCTCCAGCTAATACAGTTAATGCAGTGTGGCATAGATTTGAAGCAGCATGTAATAAGTTGCCCGTTTCTGTCATCAAAGCCCAGTTTGACTCCATGCCTAACTGATTAAGGGCCGTTTTAGTTACCAGGGGAAGTAGCTGTTTCTACGGATTTCGTAACTTGTTCAAACTCAAAAGTTGCTTACAAATTTAATAATTTTGTCTTCATGCCATACTGTTTACGTGCAATAAATATCTTTTTTCGTATTTACTTTCCTTCATGACATTGCAATTTTAATGACTAGCAGTGTATTTGAATTCATTGTTTTCGCTAAAATCAAAATCCTGTGACTGATCTCATTAGAGATGTTTCTTCATCAGTACAAATGCCGAAGCATTGACTCCATGATAATTTTAACGCAATTTTTTTTTCAAACTGTTGTCAACGGTTTGAAAGAGTTGTGTTGACTCTAAGTGGTCCTCGTAGTTTGCTTTTGTAGTCCTCCTCCCAGATTTTCAGAATTGCCCTGCTATTTGTAAACGAAACTAACAAGATTTTACTTCATTTGACTAAATATTCTAGCATAGCTTTCCATATGTGATTAAGTATTCTTTTCATATGTGACTAAGTATTCTTTTTCATATGTGACTAAGTATTCTTTTTCATATGTGACTAAGTATTTTTCATATGTGACTAAGTATTCTAGCATAGCTTTCCATTGTATTCTCAAATCTAAATTATTTAAATTTCTGAGTATCAAGTAATTCTTTGACTGTTCTCAGTGCCCATGAGAAATTAGAAGGATTTAAGAGGAAACTTGATTTATGGGTTAATCAGAGAAATTTTTTAACATTTCCAAACTTAAAATCTTCTTTAGAATTATATTGTTACTGCAAAGAATTATACAATGACGTATGTTCGCATCTCTCGAAATTCTGAGCTCGCAAATTGAAACTTATTTTCAGTTGGTAAGCAAACGAATATTCATAGGTTCTTGATCTTTTCCATTGCGATTTTGAAGATAAAAAACTATCATTGAATGTAAGGGAACAGTTAATTTAAATTTCTAAATACGTGGGACTTAAAATGAAATTCCAAGCAGAAGGTAAGGTTAATTTGGGGACCTCATGACTAGTGAAAACGGAATATAGTGAACTGTGTAATGATGCTAAAAAAGTTTAATTCAGTTTCCGTCTACTTATCTGTGTAGGAAAGAGTTTTCAGTACTTATTCAAATAAAAACAAAGAATTGAAATTAACTTGATGAATGTGCCGATCTCAAACGTTAGCTTATTTACACTCATGTCCATAAATTAAGGATAATTCGGAGTCAGGCGGAAATCGAACTCTAAAATAAATATATCACCTGTAAAACCACTACACGCATCTTCAAGAATCATATGCAAGTTTCAGGAAGTAACCAGATGACACCGATTGTACGTCACAATGACGAGAGTGTAAGAGAGTGATATATAAGGAATACAGGCAAAGAAGTAAAATTGTTCGCAGGCGCTTTATAAGCATTTCAGTGCAATAACCGATTAGTTATGACACAAAGGACGCATTTGGATTATTTTTTACGTGGTAGAATTATCGGCTGTCTGGAATGTGGGCGTACCCAACTGGAAGTATCAGACGAACTTGGAATTGCCCAGAGTGTCATCTGCAGGCTTTGGCAACGATTCCAAGATGATGGTAATGTGAGTAGACGTTACAGCACAGGTCGCCCCAGAGTTACAACGCCGAATGAGAACCGGTATTTGGCAGTTACTGCCAAAAGAAACAGGCGGAACACAGCCTCAGACCTGTCTCGTCAGCTCTCTTCAGCCACTGGTACGACAATTTCAGGGCAGACCATGTACAGACGCTTAGGACAGATTGGTCTATATGCTCGTAGACCTGTCAGATGCGTTTTACTTATTGCAACTCACTGTCTCCTGCGGTTAGCCTGGAGTAGAGAGTATGCATTGTGGATACCGCAACAGCGGGCTTGTGTGATGTTTTCCGACTAGTCCAGGTTTACCTTGCAGTCTGAATCTGGCCGGACTTTCACATGGAGAGCTCCAGGTACCCGTTACCACCAAGAAAACATCATTGAACGAAACCGTTACGGTGATGCAGGAGTGCTCAATTGGAGTGGAATTATTCTGGGTTCCAGAACTGACCTGCATGTTCAAATTGGAACCATGACAAGCCAAATCTATCGGGACGTCATTCTGGAACAACATGCACGTTTGTTTCGGGGCGCGATGGGCGCACAATTTGTGTTTATGGATGACAACGCCCGTCCTCACCGTGCAAACATCGTAAGCGAATGCCTTCAATCGGAGGATATCACTCGTATGGACTGGCCAGCATTCTCACCGGACTTGAATCCAGTAGAGCACGTGTGGGATATGCTTGGCCGACGAGTTGCAGCCCGTCAGCCTCCTCCTACATGTCTACCGGAACTTCGGAGAGCATTGCTTTATGAGTGGTGAAATATCCCCCAAGATCAGATCGATAATTTGATACTCAGCATGCCTAGGCGTTGTACGGTCTGTATTGCATCGTCTGGGAAACATACAATGTATTAACAATCATACCAACCATGTAATATTGGTTTTTTGTAAATAGGTTTTTTTTCTTTTTTTTCTTTTTTTCTTTTTTTTTTTTTTTTTTTTTTTTTTTGTAATTTGCTCCAGGGAGAAAAAAATCGCAAATTTTTTTAATAATATCAAACATATAGCATCTTTTTTTTTTTTTTTTTTTTTTTTTTTTTTTTTTTCTCTCTTTACTTTTTGTTTAATAAATAAGCTTGACAAATAAGTCAAATTTGTTTTGCTTCTAACTTTTCCTTTGCCTGATTTTGCATTATCCTTAATTTATGGACATGAGTGTATATACATCCCAACATAAAACAGCTGCAAGAATCGACACGCTAATCCATGTCATTAATTAATCTGAACACCAACATTTTTTTTAATATTAGTTGATAAGGTAAAGATCATAAAAACTAAAATAATCATGAATCATTAAATAACAGTAAAACTTCTTTCCCGTTAACTTAATTGATATACTGTAAAATTAAATGCATTTTAACTAATTATATTTAAAAAATGTAAGTGTACTGATGGCATATGCTACACAGTAATATATGCTAAAAATTACTTTCGAAGGACCTAAGATGAAGGTGATGCACAAAACTTTCTAATTTCTAACAGTGATCTCCATTTGATAAAGTTTGCGAAGAGTGCAGAGGCTTCAAATCATGGTTTTGATCTACATGCAAAAACGTCAAATGCGAAAAGGTCAAATTAGTAGATATTTATTTCTGTTTTGTTTATGATTTCCTATTAGATTGAGATTTTAAAGTTGATAAAGTTTTAAAGTTGGCACAGACACAGGGCTATTCATATATTCTGTGAAACATTTTTAAAACGTCTAGCAAATAAACTGCACAGCTGATATTTAACGTTTACACTAAAGCATTAGTTGATCTAAAATATTTTAAGCTATTTCCCAAAATGCGTCCAGATTTTCTAATATGAAAAGCATTCATACCTCACTGGAAAATGGTTTATACGGGTATGCTAGAAAACTGATTGTGCCACACTTGAATGAAAATAGTGATAAACATACCTCTGAACAAGACAATTGTCTGGTTCATTACTTAAAACCACTTGAGAAATTATCTGAGTCAAAATTTGCCTTAAAGGCATGGATGATTTACTATAGAATCTCAACATAAAAGTACTGCAAGCTGAACAGAATGCACATGAAGGTGTGATGAAGTATTAATGCGGTTTAAATTGGTACACGTAAGAGACAAAAGGGATTATCGCATAGATGTCTTCCTATCAACAAAGATGGCTTACCCTGAACAATGTGAAGATGCAAAAAAGTCCTGGTAAATTTGACTATAGTTCAGTATAATAGAATGTAGCATCTGCTCATAGTTCATTCCCCAGGAAGTTTTAAATGTATCACATAATCATGAGTAACTCTGTATTCTTCAAGCGAATAGTCACGAATCATTATGAAGACTCAGGAATGTAAATTTAAACATTGAGTTTTGCCCATTCTTCTCTTTTCTACATAAAGTCATTCAGTTAAAAACGTAAATAAACGTAAAATAGTGTTCCTTTTTTTCCTGTCTTAGCCCAAAGGATGAAGTTTCTTTAGAAACTGTGCTGACCAGTAACTGCGCTTTGTTTGCATTATTTATAAAATCTAGTAAATTTTTGTCATAAGCTTACATGGATAATCAGCTTTAGGAATAAAACTGCCTATCATAGCATCGTATAATTTATGCAGAAATCATTTTTGGATCCAAAATAAAAAGATTTTGCTAATGCTCTTAGTCTTTGCTTTAAATTCATTTTAATATTATTTTTCTATAAGCATGGGACAAGCATGAGATTGAAAAATTCATAAACAAATTTATGATGAATCGCTCCTAATCGTAGCACTTATTTTTCTTGCAGTCCCTGAAAACTATGTCAATAGAGAGAACTTCAAATGGATGTAAAATTAAATTGACGGAAACTTCCTGTCTTGCAGACGCAGCACAAAGGGAAAGGATTGACTGAATTTGTTTACTTTCTAAACACACAGATTATTTCTTACTGATCTGATAAATCATGACTTTATAAATGTATTTTTCATTTATAGTGTTTCACTTTCGATAAATAAAGACACTTTTATATCTATTCTCTTATGTGAATATGTGCTCATCGTCAAATATCGAAGAACTCAAGAAGAAAATTCATTTCAATAATCTTAAAATCAATACTAATTTAATACATGTTACTTGCAAACCACTGTGTTAAAATGAATAACCGTGTTGCCTTAAAATCAGACACCATTTATTTTTTGTTAATGAATTGATAATGGGCATTTCTAATAAGTACTAATACGAAATTTGTAAAGACCTTATTTTATTCTAACCAATTATTTTTAGTTCGACTTTCCTTTCCCTCCTGATTTCAGTTTCCTGCCGGAATGTAAATTTTAATGACGTAGTATGCAAAATCAAGTGTGTTCGAAAACAGTATTTCAGCTGCGTTCCAAAAGTTCGTAAAGAGTAGTAGCGGAGTTAGTTCCGAGTTTATGTTGCGTGTTTGTGACATAAACTCGGAACGTTGAGTGTTTGAATTACTTGTTGTAATTCAAACACTCAACATTCAGTGTTTGAATTCAGTGTTCATTCAGTGTTTGAATTACTTGTTGAGTGTTTGAACTCGTTGAGTGTTTGAATTAGCTCTGTATTTGGTTTAGACACCCTTCAGATTATATTGATATTCTAGGCTCAGCTTTGCTGTGTGCAGCCGATTTAGCGGTTTAGATAATTAAGGAGCCAGTCGTTAGCCATCCTAATTTATTGTGATTTTACATTTTTATTTTCTGTTCAGTTTAGTTTAGCCACAAATGGTGGTGAATTGTGAGCACCGAGTGCGTGCATCTTGTTACGTTAGTTTAAATAAAAATGTTAATTAAACCTTCTTCTGTAAGTATCTGTTCTTCAAAGACATGGCAAGAATTCGCTACTTCTACGTAGGATCTACAATTTAATCTTCTAAAAAGACATAAATTCTATAATTAACTAATTTTCAGCATGAAAATTCTACCGGAATTAAGGAAACCCTTGTTTTACTTGTCTTTTCATCAATGTTTAAAATAATAAAATTAAAAATTTTATATAATTATGAAACATAACTGGTAATTTTTCCAAATTTGATAACATTTTTACATGTGGTATAAATAAAACCTTTTGCTACTTTTAACAAAAACGCAGTATTATACTTTTATAAAACTTAAAAAAATTGCAAGTTATCAAACTAAAATTAATTTATCTATTTTTTTAGCTTCTGATGACTGTTCATTTAATTAACCACAGATTTTGGAGTGTATTTATAAGTTTTTAAATTCGTAAATAAAATTCCAAATAAAAAGTAAAATGTGAATAGAAATGTTTCATGTTATGATTACAAAATTCTGCATTTGACAAATTATTCTTGTAAATTGTGGACTCTAATCAACGAAGCTGGGATTTCGGAGAATTTTATTGAAACATGAAGCCAACTTTTTCAGATGTCAGTTTACTGAAGTAAAAAATTGAACCTCATAAAGTGAAGTTTAATAGCAATGAGTTTTAGGCACTTCCCAGAACTACAATTATCATTCATCAGAAACAACTGTCTTTCTTTTGCTGTTAAATTATGGAATGGGTTAAGTGCAGAAATAGTCACGGTAGTTCCATCTTGCGGAATAATATGATAATAGTTTTGTACATTAAGGATCAGAGCTTAAATTGCACCAGAGCCCACCGGAGGCCGGCTCCGGTACTTCTTAGTTTTGGGGATGTATTCTAATTCTAGTCGGAGCGCACCGGAGCCCTAAATAAGAGGTCTCCGGCACTTTTTTATGTAACGGAACAATTATTTTAGTAGAAAGTTGATCTAGAAAATTTTATTTTTAGTAATAAAATTATATAAAAAATCGCTTATAAATTTTTATTTATCTTTTTTATACATTCTATTTAATTTTAATTATTTAATTACTTTAATCTTTAATAAATTAATAATAAATTGTGAATTAATTAAACAATAATTACAAGTTAAATAATAATAAATTGTGAATTAATTAAACAATAATTACAAGTTAAATAATAATTAATTAATATTAATGATTAATATCAATTAAATAATTATTAATTAATTTGTTACTCATTAACTATTTAATTTTTAAATTATTAATGATTTTAATAATAGTCATTTTATTTATTTATTTACTCTTGTTCCTCTTTCGTGATGGTTTTTTCTTAGGGCTCCGCACTTCTACTTTTAGAAATTAAGCCCTGTTAAAGATATTTTTTTTTTTAAGATTTTATTGATATTTTGTTAATTTGTGTACAGAATATCTTAATTGTGCATCAGTCTACGTTTTTATCTTGTATTTAATATTAAAACTTTAGTATACATTAGTTCAACTAACTTAAAGTAATAAATAGTTTGCACGCGTAATGCTGATTGCTAGTTAAAAAAAATCTGATGTGTACACCACATGACTTCCTTGTACGGTATATTAAATTATACGCATTTTTTCTTGCATTTTATTTAAACTTATTAGATTGAATTAAACCTACTTCGCCGATAGCGCATAAACCACAATAGAATAAATGCATTCTTTAAAATTCACTTTGTTTACCATAGCGACACTCTGGCGCTAGGTTTACTTAACAGTATTATATTTCGTTTATATTATAACTCAGAACGCACAAAATTTGTATCATTTAAAGAATTATCTAATCGTTGCCACATGTTCTATTCAAATACTATAATAAAGCTAGAACAATGTATAAAAGAAACTAAGCAAACAAAACAAAAAAGAAACCGTTTTTTTTCACAGACGATTGAGTATTTCTCATTCAATTAATTCAGTTCTCACTTTCGCGACAAGGCAAAATACATAAAAAACAAACTCAAAATATCTCTATTAAAAATTACGAAGTAAATCTTAAACGCTTATTTCCTCGAAAAAATTCAAGAAAGTATTAAGCATGATTTAATTGGCAATAATAAATGAATGCGTTATCTTTGTTGTTGCGAAGGTAAGTTTCTCTAGGTTGGCAACAAATCCACTAGTCTCCTGTTTCAAATGTAAACATCAATGGCCGCCATCAAATTAGGCTTAGCGGCACTTAAACAATTTTAAAATTGTTGATAATTCTAAAAATATTGCATACAGATTTACTAAAGGCATAAAACCCTTAACCGGAAGATAAAAACAACATAATTCAATCATTTTAAAGCAAAAAATGTACAATTTACAAACATATAAGAGTAAAGAAACTGAGATCACTGAGCCGGGTAACAGAGTGGATATATTATAAAATATATTTATATACGTTTGGCGCGGCCGATTGAAACCAAAATACGAAGTGCACATCTACATTTTATAGTAGTATTATATACAAAATTTCAACGTTCTGAGGCTACTCGTTTTTGAGTTATGCGAGATACGTACGTACGCACGCACGTACGTACATACGTTTGTACAGACGCCACGAAAAATTCTCTTCAGAATTCATTTTAAAGCAGTTTTTTAGTTTTTTTGGAGGAAAAGAGTCTTTTATTCTGTCCTTACGTACAGATATCACCTGTGGTTGCTTGCTAAGTTCTTTTTATAATAATTTAAATAGCAAAAATCAAAAAGCAAGAATCAATATTTTCCATATATAACATCTTTATTATTCTTTGTAGCCCTCACTAACTCCTTACTGATTTCAGGCATGACAACCTTAGAAACTAAACTGAAACTAAAGGTGAAGTGAAAGTAGTAGTTATTATCTAGTAGAAGTAGTTGTAGTTATTATGACCAATAATAATTGTTGCCTACATCCTCCCCTACCAGTAACAAAGTTACGTTACTCTGAAAACATGGTGGGAGAGAAGATACAAATATCTATACAAATAACACTGATACAAATATATAAATTAAAATTATGTACACAAAAAAAGTATAATTAAGTTTTAAATTAATATGAAAGAGTTATAAGTTCAAGAAGAGTCAATAACGTCATTGAAACGAACTGGAAGTTTTACTTGTCTTCCACATCGTGTTAATTTTTTAGGTTGTTCTAGTTGCTGACTTGGCATTGATGTTTGCTTACTTGGCACAGATGTATGATCACTTTTTGAAGTTGGAGACAAAAGTTCATTAGGTTGTAACACAAAAGCTGGTTTTAACCTATCCACAGAGATACTAACTTGTTTAGTTTTTAATTGATAGAAGAAAATATTTCGGGGTTCTTTGCAGTACCAAAAGGGTCCTTCATATGGGGGCTCCAAAGGTTTTTTTTTACTCTGTCAACCCGCAGAAAACATGCGAGCATGTGTACAAATCTTTTGGGATGAAAATCTTTTGTTTACATTTGGATTTGGATTGATAGGGTTTTAAAAGGGCCATCTGATTTCGAAGATTACTTACAAAATTATCATTAGATATTGGCATGTTTTTGATTCTTCAAAGAATTCGCCAGGTAATTTAATAGATTTTTTGCCATAAACCATTTCAGCTATTGTATACTTACAGTCCTCATGTAGAGCAGCTCGCAAACCCATAAGAACTGTTGGTAATGTTTCTGTCCCAATGAAGAGAATTATGTGACATCTAATAGCTGTTTTTAAAGTACGGTGTAGACGCTTCAATTTTGCCCATTACTCTTGAGGATGGTAAGAAGATTGTATGGTTTACTTTTACTCCACATAGCGAAGGCCGAATTTCGAAAGTAGTTCTGAAATGAAATGGAGTTCCTCTGTCAATAATAACACAAGAAGGGACACCAAATCGTGGTTATCCAATGCTCATAAAAGGCTCTTGCTATATTTTCTGCAGTGTGATATTTGATTAACAGTACCACTTCCATCCAAGAGGTAAACCAATCAATACACATCAAACAGCATAAGTGTATCCATTAGAAGGTGAATAAAGCCCAATTAAATCAATGTGCACAATACTAAATCTTTCGTCTGGTGCTTGATATTGAGAATATTCTGATTTTGTATGTTTAGTTACTTTATTTTTCTGACAATCGATACAAGTTTTAGGCCCACTGTTTAACATCTTTTTTATATCCGGCCAAATGAATCTTTTAGTAATCTCTTTTACAGTACTTCGGATTCCAGGGTGAGCTAAACCATGAATTGCA